TTATAATGTAGATGAATTGGAAATTTATAGATCAATTTTATTAAAAACCAATGTCTATCGAAGAAATTTTCTTCCAAATGGACAGGTGAAAGGAACGAGAGCATTTAAATATTCCCGCATTATTAAACCACTTTTAGCTAAATCTCCTATTGCTGAATCTACACCGAAACATACTAATCCACTAATAACTGGGACTGGTTTCATGAGACTTGACATGAATAAACCAAAGTATGTCTATTGGGATAATCCAAATGAATTAGTTGAGCGATTACAGCTATTAATAGCATCGAAATCTGCAGGAAATTCAAGTCATGAGAATGAAATTACATCTATAATTGAAGAAATGAGAGAGGCTCAAATAATATACTAATGAAGTATATATTAATACAACAGTATTCAAATAAGGTTATTTGCATAATGTCTGTTGACAAGTTTGGACGGTATATACATGATAAGCAGAGCTCTAACCATTTAAAACGATATGAGAAAACACCAACAGGATTTTTCATAGACACCGATGGAAACTTTAATATTCAACGCAGACGTATAAAAAATGGAGGCTTTCCAAAAGAGAATGGTGACATAGTTATCAAGGAGTATGTTGATAAAGCTGTGAACGATATAAGAGCATCGTTAATGTCACATCAAGAGGAGTTAATTATTAGTATTCCTGATGTGAGGGCCACCGATATTGAGGATCGTTTAGACAGACTTGAGGTTATTATATCAAGTATTATTGAAAAAAAAGGATATTCTAAGTAACTTGTGTGAAAATGAGTAGGCGGGGTATTATTAATGAATTACCCGCTCCATCACGTAAACATTTTTTACGTCGTAGGGTTATTATGAAGGGGATTGATGATTTATTTCAAGTGGACTTAGTCGAGATGGGGAAGTATTCATCCACTAATAAAGGGTATCACTACCTTCTTACTGTTGTAGATGCATTCTCAAAATTTGCATGGGGTGAAGCAATTAAATCAAAAATTGGTAAAGATGTAACTGAGGCCATGGAAAAAGTATTTAAAACTGGTGGAAGAGTACCTAAGAATCTTCAATCGGATGATGGGAAAGAGTTCTTTAACTCACACTTTAAAGCATTAATGAAACGATATAAATTCAACATTTAGTACACTAAAGGCTTCAATTGTTGAACGTTTTAATAGAACATTAAATGAACTCATGTGGAAAGAGTTTTCTTTCAATGGGACATATAAGTGGATTGACATTTACAAAGAGTTAATAAACAATTATAATAATACAACACATAGAACAATAAAAATGGCTCCCATTGATGTAAACAGCGAGAATGAGAATCATATTTTAAAAACTGTATACAATAACATAAAAATGTTTGCAGGTGGCAAACTGAAAATTGGTAATAATGTTCGAATTTCGAAATATAAAGGAGTTTTTGAAAAATCCTACACGCCAAATTGGAGCACTGAAATCATTAAAATTAGCAAAGTACAAAATACTAATCCTGTGACATACTTACTGGAGGATTTAAATTCTAATCCAATTAAGGGTGGTTTTTGTAAAGAACTGAAAAAAACTAGTTTCCCAGATGAATACCTAGTTGAAAAAGTCTTGAAAAGAAAGGGTAACAGAGCTCTTGTCCGCTGGCTCAATTTTCCAAAAACTGCTGATAGTTGGAATGAAACATCTGAAATTTTGTAATAATTCAAACACTTTGAAAAGTTTCATTTTATTTTTTCTTTTATTTATGATATTTTAATAAATTCTTAAATATAGTATTATTTACATTGGATTTATTTTTAATTTTAATATCTTAGATTTAAACCTTTTTAAATAAATTACTATTATATTTTATTACAAGCTTAAATAATTTGTTTTATTTACATATTTTACATTTGTTTTTATACCCTTGCAGGGTATTATAATTTCAGTCAGAAGTTTGCAACGCAGTTAAGGAGACGTTTCCGACCCTATAAAGTATATATATTCTTGATCAGCATCAACAGCCGAGTCGATCTAGCCATGTCCGTCTGTCCGTCTGTCCGTCCGTCTGTCCGTTTCTACGCAAACTAGTCCCTCAGTTTTAAAGCTATCTCAATGAAACTTTGCATATAGTCTTCTATATGCTCTCACTGCTATATGTGTCGGAACGGGCCGGATCGGACGACTATATCATATAGCTGCCATACAAATGTTCGATATATTTTTAGAAAAATAATTATAACTTAGCTGTTTTTTAACATTTTTGCACCATTTTTTAGATATGGCCATTTTATATTATTTCGGAATTTTGGTAAAAATTTTATGAAAATCGGACGACTATATCATATAGCTGCCATAGGAACGATCGGGAAATTAATAGAAAAAAAATTATAGATTCGTTGTTTTTCAACGTATTTTCATCTACTTCGGGATATAAGCTTATTTTATTATTCTAGAATTTTGGTATAAATTTCAAAATAATCGAACAACTATATCATATAGCTGCCATATAAACGATCGGTAGATGTAGGGAAAATGTAAAGCTGGAAATGCAAAACTGTAACTGTCAAACTGTAAACATAATAAGTATAGGTAAAATGTCATAAATTAATATCTGCAAGGGTATACAAACTTCGGCGTGCCGAAGTTAGCTTCCTTTCTTGTTTTATTTTTATTTTATTTTATTTTTTTTTAATGTTTCTTGTTATTCTTTGAATTTCTAAGCATAATAATCTGAAGCATAATGCTCTATTAAGTGGGTCATTTTTTCGATAGTCACACTTTCATTTTCTTCTATCTTTCTTTTAAGTGATATTTTATTAGTTTCAGGTCTTTGAGAGCTCTCTATTTGGCTACGCCAAACCATTGTCTGAGCTTCCAAAGTTGCTATTTCACTCTTTATTCCATTTTCTACTGTAGAATAATGCCCTATTGCTAGAGTTGAAACTCCATCATCACATATTATTCTTTTATCAACTTTATTATCTAATGTAATTTTAGGAACTTTTTCTGTACTTATTTCATGTCCTCTTGATCGAAACATGTACATTGTATCACATTCTTGCTGGCCAGTAAACAAACAATTTGTATACCCCTCAAATGTAATTTTTTGTAAACAACTACGTTTTATTCCTTTATTCTTTTTCACTGTTTTCTGGGGCTGATTACCTACACTTTCAGATTAATAAGCATACATTTTTGACCTCAAGCCTACAAACTCTGTCATTGACCTACCATTCAATTCATCCTTAAAGAAACCTAACCGCTTCTTATTACACTGCTTTAAATTATAAAGTGAATATCTGAATACTCAGATGTATCAAATTTATACTCGACATCATTTCTAATGTCTGCATATAAATCTTCTGTTTTTATTGAGTAAATAAATGAATCAGTGTCCCCAAATGTAGGTTTTATGTATGAATAGTGAAAATCATACATTTTCCATTTCGACAATTCTAAAACCACAAATCCTAAATATAGCGGCCTATCACGAACGTTATGTAATTTCTTTAATTGAATTGTGTAAGGAAGCGTCTGGGCGGCCGGGGTGATCCTCAGCGGCCCAGAGTCCCCTCACAAAATTTATAATTTGTGAGACACCCAGAACGGAGAAGCGCCGATAATTTTCTGGCCAGCTAGCGGGGAAAATGGGGAAGAAATATATTTGTACGGGGTTATTTGGCCAGGGAGAGCTGGGCGACCCGGAATAATCCAGCGGTCAAGCCCACGTCAGCGCCCGGAATTATCCAGCGGCGAGACGAGCGGCCCGGAGTTATCCAGCGGCCACGCCCACGCCCACGCTCGGAGTGATCCAGCAGCGGGGCGCCTTCGGGGCAGGACAAAGGCTCGGAGGGATCCAGCAGCCAAGGCCTGTGTCCACGCTCGGAGGAATCCAGCAGCGGGACCACTGACTCGGAGAAAAATCCAGCAGTCAGCCCCGAATCCTCGCCCGGAAGAATCCAGCGGCAGGATTGCTCAGAGGGCTCGGAATGATCCAGCAACCACGCCTACGCCCACGCTCGGGAGGATCCAGCAGCGCGGCGTCCGTTGGGACAGGACAAAGGCTCGGAGAGATCCAGCAGCCGATGCCTGCGTCCACGCTCGGAAGAATCCAGCAGCGGGACAGTTGGTTCGGAAAAAATCCAGCGACCAACCCCAGATCCTCGCCCGGAAAAATCCAGCAGCGGGATGGCTCTCTGAGGGGCAAGGGGGAAAAGGGGACCGGCGGCCTCGCGGCAAGTCCGGGCTCGGAAAGATCCAGCAGCCACGGGCTCCTGTTCCCGTCCGGCTTTCGCCCGCACCCGGAATTACTCCGAAGCTACGGGGAAAGCGGGAGGGGGATTGGTCACTGCCGGCGAGGGGCGCCGGCCCGCAAACGAAGGCAGGGAAAACGCACAATTTGATGCAAGCACATGGATTTCTAATTATATTTTATTCTCAATTAAAGTTACTGTGGCAAGGGGCGGGGTAGATCCCAATATATTTAATGGCCGGCGGCCATGCTCACCCACGATTCGAAGCGGATGCCTTCGAAGGTCCTGCAGGATGTTTCCCTTGACACGAACACGCGGTTTGGCACTTAAACTTTTACACTCCGGAGCGGCACGACTTGCGCGGTTAAGAATTAGGCGAGGATTAAATTGACCTAATTTTCCGAGTGTGGCCGTGACCTAGTTTCTGCCGGCAGCGCTGCCGCGATCGATCTTGGCGTTGCCAGGCTCTGCCACTATCGCCGACAGCGTTGCCACTTGCGCGCGTAACGTTAAGGCTTAATGCTTGTTTTGAATTTCCCTTCGCGGGGTTTATTTGGCTTCATGCCGTTGGCTTCATGCCGGGTGATGTGTGTGTGTGTGTGTGTGTGTGCGTGTGTATGGCTTCGTGCCGGGTGGTGTGTGTGTGTGCGTGTGCTTAACTTTAGTCTTAATTTTAGTCTTAATTTTAGTCTTAATTTTAGGTATCGTAATTATAAGCTTAGATTGTATTTATATACATATTTATAATGTTGTGGCGACCGATCGTGTCGTCACACTCCCTCCTCACTTCCGGGTGGGGTGTAGGAAGACCCGGACGTGGTCGTCCCGATTCAACTGCACCCGGAATCGCTGACCCTGCTCCTCCTCTAGATAGCGCCGGGCCCTACGTCTGGCGATTAGGAGTCGCTGCTGGATCCTCCGGATGAGCCCGGCGGGTAGCGTGCCGTTGGGCGTGCTCCAGCCGTCGGGAACTGGTAGCCAGCGGGCGTGACCCTGGCGATCGCGTGGTAACTCCTCCTCGGACGAGGATCCGCTGGGACTATCCGCCCAGGGCGCGCTCCGTCGGCGGCCTCGGCGTGCTGGTGCTGGTGTGGGTGGCCGGTCCCTGGCCGAACGTGGCTCCGGGTTTGTTGGCTGAACCGGCCCGGCGGAAGACGAGCCCAGCTCGTCACTCAGCTCCTCGGCCCTGCGTCGGGCCACTGCCGCGGCGTATTCGCCGGGTGTGGGTAGCGGGGGGCGCGTCGGTACGGCCACGGCTGGTCTCTCGTTGGCGGAGTCCTCGTTGGCGGAGTCCTCGTCGGTCGTCAAGTCGACGAGTCGGCTTGTCGCTGGGCCATCTGCCCGGCGTGGAGCGGCGGCGGCGTGGTATCCACGTGACGTGGTTGGCGGTGACTGGCTCGGCGTTGAGGCCGCGCAAGTGGGTATCGGGCAGCTGGTAGCGTAAGGGCCTGGCCCGAAAATATCCTCGTACGCCGGAGGCGGGGTGCCCGGCGGTCTGAAGCTTGGCTCGGCGTCGTCGGAGTCTGAGATCTGGATGATCTCGGCCGCCACTCCCTCGTCGCTGGAGATCTCCTCATAGTCCGGCTGGAATTGAGGTGACGGGGTCCTTGGCTCGTGGGTGGATTGATTGGAGGCAGGGCGCGTTGGGAGCTCTACCCCGTCCTCGTCGGGGGACTCCCCGAAGAGGTCCTCCAGATCTAATCCTTCTGCCCCGCGGGCCATCTCCTCCAGTATGTCGGGTGGAAGGTCGCCTAGGCATTCTCGTAGCGCCGCTTCCACCTCGACGTCTGGGTCCGGTGCCGCTGGAGCCCCTGACGGGACCAGCGGTGCTATGGCCTGGACTGCGCGTGTCTCAGGCGCTGTAGGGGTCGGGCCGGTGCGTGCGCGTGCCGAAGCGAGGGCAGCTCGCGGCGTCGCTCGTGGTGATAGGGTGACGTGGCCGGTAGACGTTGTCGTGGCGGCCCGGCCGGTGTGCGGGCGCGTTGATGGAGCGGTTGCTCGAGGTGCTGCCCGTGGGGGCTGCCCCTGGTTGCCGGTAGGCGTCGTGGACAACTGGCCAGTGTGCGGACGCGTCGACGGGCCGGCTGTCTGTGGCGCTGCCCGTGGTGATGGCCTCCCTCCTGTGGTCTGCTTCTGGGTGGCCTGAGTTGATGGAGCCCGGGTCGTGTGTAGCGGGACCAAAGGCGGCGGCCCCTGATCCGTGTTTGGCTGCTTGCCCTGGTCGGCAGGCGTGCGGGCGGCCTCGGCTGGCCGTGGTCGTGGCGGGGTGGTGTCCACCCGTATTGGGCCGAAGCGGTGATCCGGCGGGACGTCTACCTGCTCCGCGGACGGGATTCGTCTGCGGATTCCGGCCACACTGAGTGGCGTGAGGGGTGAAGGTTGGAGGCGATGCCCCATCTGGAGACCGTCCAGCAGCTCCTCAAGGGCGAGCCCCATCCAGGCGTCGTCCCTGGGCGATGACATCGTGGTGCCTGACACTTGCTTGGCGAGATCGTTGGTCCGGGTGGTGGTGATGCGGCCGTGCTCGGGATCGTGGGCGGGGTGCGAAGCGCGTGTGATCAGCGCTGCCGTGCGCTGGATCCTCGAGGGTGCGTGCGTGTATTCGCTGGCGGTTGCCTGTGGGCGGTGGGTCGCGTCTCTGTTGCTGTTTGCTGTTTGCACCGTGTGCGTTCGTGCTGCGTGATGATCGATGTGTCTGTGGAGAGAAAAGAGCAAAAGAGACGGCGTTGTTAGGGGGGCGCTTTCGAAGGACCCTACCCAACCGAGAGTTGCTCGATTTCTAAGTTTTGCGAAAGAGAGGGCGCATGTTTCCCCCTAGGGGGGTAGGAGCGTTGGACAGGCGCGCCTGTCAGCAAGTGGCCCCTCTGAACATGGCCATCTTTCGATCTGGGCGTGGCATAGTGGCGGCGGCGTGGAGTGGGGCGTGGCTTAGTGGCTCGTCGTGTCGGCGGCGTCTGACTGCTTTGAGTTCTGCGTGTCCTCGGCGTGGTCTTCCTCGTAGTCGCTGCCACCGATCGCGCCTTCGGCGTGGTCATCTGCTTCTCCCTGTCGGTAGGGTTTCAGCTGTCCCAAACTCGCAGTACGACGTCGGCGGCTGCCGGGTACGTGTAGCTGGACGATGTTTGGTGAAGGGAACTTCGCCACTCGAAAGGGTCCCTCGTATCTCGCGGCCAGTTTGGCGGCGAATCCTTCAGCCGCGTTGGAGAGTGCATGGCGTCTCACCAGCACTAGAGATCCTACCGGCGGCTTCCAAGTCCGTCGGCGCAGATTGTAGTGTCGGCCCTGATCCGCCGTAGCGCGCTCGGCGTTGTCTCGCACCACTCGGAAGATGTCCTTCAGCTGCTGGCTTCGGTCCGTTGGGGCCACCTCTGGGGTGCCTCGACCTGGTGTGAGCTCGTAATAAAGAGTCCGTGGCAGCCTCGGTTCTCGCCCTTGCGTCAGGAAAGCTGGGCTAAATCCTGTTGTGTCGGAGATACTGCTGTTGATGGCCAGGGAGATTTCCGGCAACAACTGGTCCCATGTGTTCTGCGGGCCTCCATCCAGGTACTGGGCGATCATCGTCTTGATCGTCCTGTTGGCTCTCTCCGTCGGGTTCTGCCTTGGCGTATACGGCGCCGTGTGCTGCAGCTCCATGCCCAGCGATTTGTAGAAGTTCTGGAAAGATCGCCCTGTGAACTGCGTGCCGTTGTCGCAGACGAAGGTCCTCGGCACTCCGAATCTGCTCAGGATCCGTTCCCGAAAAGCGCATTCAAGCTGTGCTCCAGTGGCTTTTCGTAGTGGCACCAACTCCACCCATTTGCTGAAGGCATCCAGAAACACCAACAGCATGGTGTTGCCTTGCTTTGATCGTGGAAGCGGACCAACGAAGTCCGCGCAGAGAACCTGGAATGGCTCGTCGACCTGGCGGGTGAACATCATCCCCGCAGGTTTCTCCTGGCTTACCTTGAACTTCTGGCAACTCGTACAGTGACGAACATAGCGCGCGACGTCGCGGAATAAACCCGGCCAGTAGTATCGCTGAGCCACGCGATTACTAGTCTTCCGGATTCCCAAGTGTCCGGCGGTTGGGTGGTCATGGCATTCCTCGAGGACGCGTTGGCGGTAATCCGACCCAACGCACAGCTTCCATGGCGTATACTCCTCCTCTTCTGGCTGAAGACCAATGCGGCGATAGAGTTGTCCGTTCTCCTCCCTGTAGTCGGGGAACTTGGCGGGTTCTGTCCGCATCTTCTGAAGCATCTTCTTGATCCAGCGGCAGTTGACTCCTTGTACCTGTGCTTGCTGCGCGGTAGGCAGCGGTTGGCGAGAAAGGGCGTCGGCCACAAGATTTTGGGCCCCTTTCCGGTAATGGACGTCATACTGGTACTGCTGCAACTCGAGAGCCCAGCGTGCAATCCTGCCCGTCGGGTTATCGATCGAATTCAGCCATTTCAGCGAGTGATGATCCGTCATCACGTCGAAACGGTACCCCTCGAGGTAGCATCGCATCTTCCTGATTGCCCAGACGATGGCGAGGCACTCCTTCTCCGTAACGGAGTAGTTCCTCTCGGCCGGGTTGAGCCGTCGACTGGCATAGGCGACAACTCTTTCCTGTCCCTCGATGGTCTGTGTCAATACGGCTCCTATTCCGTACTCGCTGGCATCCGTCTGTAGAACGAACTTCTGGCCGAAATCCGGACAGGCCAAGACCGGTGCCTTCGTTAGTAGCGCCTTCAGCTCCTGAAAAGCGTGATCCTGCCTCGATGTCCACTCCCACTTTTGGCCTTTCTTCAGCAACGCGGTCATGGGTTCGACCACGTCGGCGAAGTTTGGAACAAAGCGGCGATACCAGGATGAAATCCCAAGGCACCTCCGGAGCTCCTTTAGGCAAGTTGGTGGCTTCAGCTCGCGGATCGCGGCAACTTTGTCCGGATCTGTATGGATGCCCGCCTCGCTGATCACATGTCCCAGGTAGACGATGTGGCGTTGGAAGAAGTGGCACTTCCCTCGATTCAGGCGCAAGTTCGCATTGCGCAGGCGTCGGAAGACCTCTTGAAGGTTGGCGACGTGTTCCTCCAGCGTTGAGCCTATGACGATGATATCGTCCAGGTAGGCGAATGCGTGCGGCTCCATGTCAGGCCCGATGACTGTATCCAAAGCGCGCTGGAACGTTGCAGGGGCGGAATGCAGACCGAACGGCATCACCCGCCAGTGGAATAATCCTCTGCCGGGAACGGTGAAAGCCGTACTCTCGGCTGCCCGGGGCTACTGGTATCTGCCAGTATCCATTCTTCAAGTCCAGCGTCGAGATGAACTTGGCGTTCCGGAGGCGTTCCAGAATCTGGTGAATCCTCGGGAGCGGGTAGGCATCGGGAACCGAGTTTTCGTTGAGTTGACGGTAGTCAACACACATGCGTACGTCTCCGTTTTTCTTCGCCGCAATCACAATGGGCGCGCTGTGCGGACTCTTCGAGGGCTCGATCCGCCCGTCTCGAAGAAGCTCGTCGATCTGTTTGTCGATGATGGCCCTCATGGCCGGGTTCCTCGGGAAGTATCTCTGCTTCAGTGGCCGATCGCTGCGCATGATGATGTGGTGCTCCGCTATGTGGGACACCCCTGAAAGATTCTCGAACAAGGCCAACTCCTTCTCCAGGAATTCCTCTACCCAGGGCTCTGGGTAGCTGTGGGTCTCGAGCTCTTCCGCCTCGGTTGAATCTGGATCCCCAGCGGGGTGACTCACCGAGTTAATGTTTCCGCAGAGAGGCGAGTCTTGCGCCGGCGTTTCCTCGACGTGGTCCTGGAAACGGACACGCTTCTTGGATGTGCGAAATGGATTTCGCTGCGCGGCGGTGGCATCTGCCACAGGCAAGACGTGGCTCCAACTTGGCGGCTGGTTTCCCGTCGTGGACGGGTCTGTGCCCGAGATGACTGCCGACCTCCGGGAGGATGCGCTCTCCTCTCCGGCAGGCGTGGTGCTGGCGGTCTCCCGGTTGGTTTCGGGGGCTGTGCTCCGAGGGCGGGCGCGTGGCGCCGGTTGCGGTGGTTCTCTGGCCGTTGCTGGTTCCGTGTTGCTGGAGCGTGGCTCCGTCGTCGCTGGTTCCCGGCGGGCAGAGTGTGACTCGGCCGGCGGGCTTCGGGGTTGAGAGCGTGGCTCTCTCGGCTGCGGCGTAGGGTGTGGCCCTCCGTGAGGGTTGGAGTGTGGCTCCTCAAAGTGGACGGAACGTGGCTCCTCGAAGCGGACAGAGCGTGGCTCTTCCCTCCGGCGTCTTGCGTTGGCTCGTTCTTGAGCCCATGGTGGCTCCGTGTACTGGTCTGGCATCAGGCTGAGGGTCTGTCCCCCGCACTGCATGGTGGCTCCGATCCTGCAAAGAAAGTCCATGCCTAGGAGAACGTCGTCAAGGACTTCGCTCATCACTAGCAGGACGGTTGGAGCGCGTTTGCTCCCCAGGTGTATATTGGCGGCGAGGGCCCGAGTCAGGTCCCGGCATGTCCCGTCGGCCAACTTGACTTGTGTGCGAATATCTCGCGAGTTGTCCGCGTTGCCTAACTCTCGGGCTAGGTCTTCGCTGATGAAGCTATGCGTAGCTCCGGTGTCCAGGGTGGCCACGAATTCTCGTCCTTCCATGGTGATGGTGGCGCGAATCCGTCCCTGGTGTTGGTGGAGGGTTCCTCCTACTGGCTGCGTGGGTTGGACGGGTTCCCCGGGTGATTCCCGGTCACTCGAGGCCCGTTCCCGTTTCCCGATGCTGCACGCCGACAGCAATCGATAGTCCGGGTTCCTCTGCGTCCGCAGTCCCAGCAGAAAATGATGCGGGGGTTCCGGCACTCGGCTGAGAAGTGTCCCGGTTGGCCGCAGTTGCGGCAGGCGTCACGAAGGTTGACTGGCTCCGATGTGACGAGAGAGGCTGGGCTCTGGCTCGTGTTCGCGTTTCGACTGGTCCCTCCGTTGAAAGGGTTGCCCACTGGGGCTGCTGGTGGGGCACGGCGCGGCGTCTGCCCGGCTTCCGTCCCATAGTTGCGTCTCGCTTCCGGTCGAGGGCTCGGAGAGCGATGATCCTGGCCTCTATTCCGGCTGCGCGTCACCTCGTAGTCCACTACCAGGTGGGTCAGCTCCGCCAGGGTGCGGAAGTCCTGTCTTCGGGTGAACAGCTGGTACTCCGGCAGCATGTTGTCGTAGACGCGCTCCAACTCCCGGTCCGGAGAGAATCCAGCTCGGCGCATCTGCAAGCGAAGATCCACTAAGTATTCCTTGAACGGCTCGTTGGGTCGCTGCAGGTGCGTCCGGATCTCGTCCTCCAGTCGTTGATAATACCGCGGTGGCAGGAAAAAATCTAGAAATTCGCGGCGAACCTCGGCCCAGCTGGCTTGTTGGAGTCCGCTCGTGCGGAACCAACTCTCAGCCCGACCGGACAGCAGCACCACCAGGGCTTGAGCCAGATATCTCCGGTCGATCCGGCAGGTATCGGCACGCTCCTCGATGTGCT